AAACAAAGGCTATGTATTGAGTATAGGTATCAGACCAAGTATGACAGTCACTGTGAGCTGAAAACATCCCAGCTTTTCCCACTAAAACCAGTAGCAGAGCCATCCATCCAGTGGAGGACTGGACATCTGATATAACCATCTGCACAGTGATTGAGAAATTTGCCACTTCTTGCTTCCCTGAGAAGCAGTATTTCTACTGCTTCCATGTTAGACACATCCCCAAAGTCTTAAGAGTTCAAAGTGATTGGGAAGCTACAGATGAAAGATGGCTCAGTCATCAGAATGAGATCTAGGGAGATTTCACAACACACATATGACCCTTCAAAATGTTGATTACTTCTTTCTCACATGCCTTAACTGTCAGACATTTCTGTCCTGAAATAGAGATATGCAGGGTGTATAATACAAACTGATGCTTTTTCCTAAAACTAGACTACATTCAGTGTAACATACTGATGTTACATGGCCTTTTGGGTCCAAGAGCCAAACTGTATTTTGGACTGTATCAAGGACAAAGGAGAAACTTAATCTTGGTGTTGAACATTAAAGTGAGGAATCTCCTAACCCTACCTTATCCTTTGTCATCTTCTGTATGGCTTAGCTGACCTACAGATCTGAAAGGCAAATTAATATTTGCTATTGTGCAATGAAAAAGGCAATTTCTTCCACTGTATTTGTCTACTGTGTGAATAAGGTAAGTAAATATTAACTCCTCCAGTGCTGTGGGTAATCACTTCCTCACGTACCATCCCCCCTCCAAATCAGAGCTTTTTCTCTGAAGCATCTAGTTGCCTTCTGCTCACCAACAAGGTCACAATGAGCAACCATGAAAATGAATTCACAAGTGGCATCTGGCCTTCATTTTGCATAGCTTGTTGGTATTCTCTCCTCCTTGACTGCAGTCAGTTTAAGGTTAGAACATTTTCCTGAAATGCATGTAATTACTGACATTTCCTACAAAATCTTTACACTTCTCAGATGCTGTTCTAACCAATATCAACTTCCACAGAACAAGGAAGAGGCCTACATTTTTTTTCTCCAAAACCAAAATGCAATCAGATAATGCTCTTCACACAGCTTGTACTGAAAATACAGTCAGATTTGTTGCTCTGGTTATATAGTAAAAAACCTGTTGACCCACACCTTCTGTGACTCTGAACACTGGTCAAAGTTAAACAGAGAGGCTTGTTTTCTTTCAGTTCCCGTACATTAATGCACAAATGTTTGCATACATTCCTCAGGCACATCTACAAACAAAAACAAACAGGCAATGTCTAAGGAAACTCCTAACAATCTTGCCCACACTGAGTAGTTCCCTCATTCACAAATAAACTCCACTGAAGTTTTCTGGGATTACTCACAAAGGGTGAACCAGATCAATGTGGGCAAAGCTGCTCTCACAGGTACTCATTCAACTTAGGTCTACTTCTCAGAAATTGACAGTGGTTTTGGAGCACCATGACTCTTCAGAACAGGGATCACACAGAAAGAGAAGGGCCTGATTCTTATTTTAGACAATGGTTTAAAGCTGTGATCCTGTCAAACCTCCTACATATCACCCCTTCCATCTGACTCAAGCCTTCTATGGCTCTCTCTCATCCAAAGCTCCCAGAGAAGGGGGCTGAAGAGCAACAGCACTGAGTTCCCATCCCAGCTAAGTTATACTGTTTAGTATTTCAATAATCAACCAATGGTGCTACTGTTCAGAAAATTAGTTCTGAAAAGAAAACATTCATTCTCACTTTAGACTGACAGAAAACTTCTTTCATGGTGAAATGAGCAAATGAGCAGTTAAAAAACAGGTGCTAGTTGCTAAAATCAATATGGCTTCATAGCAACATTTCATTCTTCCACAGCAGTAGAATGTTTCAAACAGTTCATCAGATGTGATCAAAGACATAACTGGACACACTCAAAACATAAAACATCTTCCACTTTTGCCTTAAGCAAAAGCTACATTGACTATTTGTTTCCTGTATATGCTACTAGTCAACTTACAGTGGAAGCACAACCACAGTAGCAGAGCTGTTAAGTTTTTTATGAAAAGTTAACACCAGGCAGTATGTTACAAATTCCAGTCTTCAGCTATTACAAGTAATAAGAGAACGCTGTAATTAAAAAAAAATAAATCAGCCCCATTTTACTTCCTTGAAGCATATTCAGTAGTTACATTAAAAACAATTTTTATAGAAATCCTCCATATTCACTAACTTAGAGGGAAATGCACTTAAAAGGGGTGTATACTGAGCATCTTTATTGATGGATATTACTTTCTGTCTAGCTCAGAAGAAATAAGATCCTCTTGAGGTATTGAATCAGATGAGTGACTGTGATGAGAAGTAAATTAAAACCACAGAAAATGCCCTGTTTGTAAGTATTCTGCTGCCAATAGATGTTCAGTAGCTGCATTAATACCTTTTAGACATTTGGAATGCAAAACAAAAATAGAAGCATTATTTCCTTTATGCTTATAATGACCACAGAATAATTTTATAGCAAGAAATTACTTTTAAGGCACATCAGTCATTCCATATATACTTCACATCCACTAAAATCTGACTTGTCAATTAAATTTCATTTTCATAGATTCCTTTAATTCTACAAGGAAAAACAAAAAGGAAGGATCATGTGTACAGGCAACAAATCTCATTTCAAAGCCAGTGCAACAGTGAAACTGCCATGTGTGTGTGCAGGCTGGGAAACCACTCTGAATGAGCAGTAAGTGACAAAAGCAGACCTTCATCTCAGTAGGAATGGGTATCTCTAATGAAGTCATCCAGTAACTCAGAGGTAGTAGCTATGTACCATTTGGTTGCTCTGGCAATTACATAGTTTCTCCAGATGAAACAAACTTGAACTTTTTGGCTACCTACAAACAATGTGACCTTGTTTCAATGCTCTTCTTGATACCATTTTAAAAATCATCTCCATTTTGCTAAAGAGAAAATGGCTTTTAATTTCCTCCTCTTGGTTGTTATTTTTTTTCTATTATTTATCTGTCTCTGGTACGTATTTGTACCCACTTATTTGTTATTTACAAAGGGATGTTCCTGAAAATAACTCTTAACATCCTTTCTTTAAGCACACGTTTAAGCAAAGCTCAAATCAAACCTTATTTCAAGAAAGGAAGCAATAAGATACAGAATAAAAACTCTGAAAAGATCTCAGTTGTTTCTTTAGTGAAATCAAGTAAACTTCTAATGCTTTTGGTGCAATGGTCTACTCCTTACTTAGGCAGAACTCCCACTTGAGCTGGCCCTGAAGTTAAATTGTCTATCGAATTAACAACAGAATCTTAGCCACTGCCGACCTCCTTTTCCAGGGTTAAGTGAACCAAATGCTTATTATGAAACACTGATTAAACAAAGCAACTGCTTTATCATTTCTCCTTATGCCACAGAGATTTCAAGAGAAGACAGACTACAGACACCTGTCAGACAGAACAGAGGGAGTAAAGAAGGGGAGATCTAATAATTCTCAGGTACAGATTCAGTGTAGCTTTTTAAGAAGCCTGCCATATGAGATTTCATTTCATTTTATTTTTCAAGGAGGTTTTTACTATGGAAAGCTTAATTTGTGGCAGATGCGAAATCCTGCTGCCTATGGAAGAGTGATACACGGAAAACGGAGCAGTATTTACTCCACAAACAGAATATACACCTTGCAGCAGCACAGTGGGAGAAGGGTTGTAAATGTTCAGCTGAGTCTTACACTCAGTGTGCATTCAGTGGCAAATGTACAGACACCAGTCCTGTTTTTCATTCTCTTCATAACAGTTTATGACATTTCATAAACCCATGGGATATACAGTTTGCTTTAATAACTGTTCAAACCCTTCTCCCTTCTTCCCTCCTCTCCTCCCCAACAAAATCCTCTGAAATGACAAACTAGAAATGCAAACAGGAAAAGGGAAATAAAGCAGCATTAATATTAAGGGTTTGGAGCAGCTGCACCTTCTTTTGAGGTTTGTTCACACACACAGCTAACAATCTGCAACGAATGCTTCTCATTTAAAAAACAGATATAAAGGACTTAGTTGTTCTAAGACTGTAAATACAAAGGATTTAAAGACCTTAGTGTTGTGATGATTGCTCTTCCTCTGAAAATCTGCATAGCAGATGGCCTCCAACTGCCTGTCTGCCTGAGAATGAGAGCAGCACACATCCAGCCCCTGAGATAAGCCTTCTCAGGGCTTAAAAAGAGGGGAAAAAAGTTCACCCCGGCTCATGAAAATCGAGCTGGATGGCAATTTAATTTTTTTTTCTTTTAATTCTGAAAATGTTAGCTGAATTCACAATTTTATTTTATTTTATTTTTTTCCAATGGAAGTTGTTTTAGAACTCGTGTCCAGACAAGCTACCTGCTCCAGCACAGCAAGGTGCTTAGGCTACTGATCTGACAGGGATGGAGTAGGAATTTACTGCCTGGTGAACCAACGGGGGGGAGAGAAATAAGGTCATAGGGTGCATGTGCTCTTTTTTCCTATTTCATGGAAACATGCAAACTCCCACGTCTGTCCCACAAACAAAAATTATGGGAAGAAAAGCATTTCCCATCTAGCTCTCTATGCAAAGACCCCTCCAAAAAAAGCAAACCCCATGCCTCTCTTTCACTTAAGCTCTGTGTAAAATCATCATTCAGGAGGTTTTAACAGTACAAAGCTTTATTTAGAAAAGTTTGATTTTTCTTAGGAGTTTTTTCTTTTTTGGCAAACATTTAAATCCTTCCATAACTCAAAAAACTGTCAGTGCCTGCCACTTTGCACTTTCTTTCCCCACATAAGCAGTAAAAGCTAATTTCTTACTGGGACAAGCCCACTACAGGCCCCAGCTGCTTTATTTATAAATACTCAAATCTCCACACCACTGCCACTTAATCCTTCCCTCTTCCCTCTGCTTGTTCTCCCACAAAATTCCAGAGCCCACAAAAACTCACTGCCTCCCAAGCTCAGTGTCTTAGCCTGGTTTCCTCTGCGAGCTTCTCATACCCTGTCAGGATTCAGACAATCCCTTCCCTCCCTGTTTACCCATCTGCACTCCAGCACTGCTCCTCCAGCCTCATGTCTCCATCCTGCACACTCAGCCTCCCCAACACTGTCCCTGTACTCCATATCACCACTCTGCACGACCAAGGAGGCAAGCCCTCTTCCTTCTCTCCAAGCCCAAAGTCCATGTTCTCTTCCCTCCCTTCTTTTTCAGCACAGAGACTTCTTCTCTTTTAACTCCACTCCTCCTCAAGGCAAATCCATCCCTCCAGCTCAATGCCGGAAGTTCTTCTTCTTCTTCTTAAAGAGAATGTGTTTAAAGGACCTGCGGAAGTCTTGGTTGAAGATGGTGTAGATGACTGGGTTGAGGGAGCTATTGCAATACCCAATCCAGAAGAAGAACTTGAAGAGAGTCTCGGGGACCTCGCATGCCTCCCGGCAAATACCATAGAGGCTGTAGCTGAAGAAGAAAGGGAACCAGCAAACTACAAAGACCCCCATGACGACAGCCAGCACAAAAGTGAAGCGTTTCTCCCGGGCCTGGGTGACCTTCTTACGGCAGATGCTGCTGCGCTTCCGGCGACGGCGATATGAGAAGAACTGCATGGAGCGATTGCTTGCGCGGGACAGTCGGCTACTAGAGTGCTTGGAGGAATAGGAGTAGGAGAAGGACTGGCTCTTGCTGCTTTTGCGGGGATGCTCCTCCCGGCTCCGCCTCCGTCTGCTCTCTGAGGTGCTGCTCTCCTCCAGCTCAATGTCCTCCAGCTCAGAGGCTTTGCGCCAGTGGTGCCCTGAGTAATGTCCGTTCTCTCCCAGCTGCATCCTCAGGGACATGCAGCCCCCAGCAGCACGGCTCAAACCATTCTCAGTCTGGGAGGACCCCTCTGGCATCGTACGCTTCTCAGAGAGGGTCCTGGTCCTTAGCTTGGCCACACGGTAGATGCGGATATAGACCAACACCATGATGAGGCAGGGGGCAAAGAAGGAGCCAATGCAAGATGAAAGGATGTACCATGTCTCATCATTGAGCTTGCACTGGGGAAAAACATCTCCTTCAGGGTCCCGGTACACAGAGATCAATGGTGGGAAGGAGATGACAGCTGAAATGAGCCAAACAGTGAGGATAATGGCCTTGATCCGCCGAGGGGTCCGTTTGAGGTTGTACTCCACCGCCTGTGTGACTGACCAATACCTGTCGAGGCTGATGGCGCACAGGTGGACAATGGAGGAGGTGCAAAAGAGCACGTCCAGTGCCAAGTAAATATTACACCAAGCCTTGCCGAAGTACCAGTAATTCATGAGCTCGTTGGCTAAGGAGAAAGGCATGACCAGAGTGGCCACCAGGATGTCCGCACTGGCCAGGGACACTAGGAAGAGGTTCTGGGGGGCTCTCAGCGCCCGGCTGGTGAGGACGGCGATCACCACCAGAACGTTGCCCACGATGGTGAAGACGATGAGGAAGCTCACCACGGCCGCCAGGCTGGCCACGGCCGCCGGGGAATAGGGAGAGGGCGGCTGGAGAAGGACCGAAGAGGACGGCGAGGAGGGGGGCAGCGGCAGGGACTCGTTCGGGGAGTCCAGGCTCGTGTTCACCACCAGCAGCAGATCCATGGTGGGTGTGCGGGGCGCCGGCGTCCTAGAGAGCCCGGC